TTTTCTATGTTCTTTCACTCCCTTATTGTTAACACGTGATATTGATATTTAGGATAAATAATATGTTGAATTGAGTTAAATTTATGTGTGACATTAGTTAGTCGGCATTGTGTTGAGTGAGCAAATTATCAAGTTTTTTTCGATAACATAATAGTACGAAAGTAACATGAATTTTTTTGAAAAACTTCATGGTTCACTTGTCCCTAACTAAATGTATGATTTTTTTTAGTACTTGGAATAACAAAAAGGCTTTCGCTCTTTTCATTATCTTGAAAAACGTCGAGTATTTTGTTTGTTGTCTAATACATGTGTGAAGTAACATATTAAAAATTGTGCAAAAATACTATAATAGAAGCGAAAGTTCGTAAAAGCAATTCATATTCTTCAATTAGAACAGCCGTTGTCAAGATCGATAATTCATCGCGATGATTCTTTTGGGAAAGGATTAAATTTTTTTAGTACAAATGTAAATAATTTGTATTGGAAACTTGTTATATAAGAACCATTTCAATAAAACTATTCAAAAATCCTTACATGTGCATAAGAATACAAATATTAAAATTTGTGAAGTAACATATTGAAACCTGTGCTAAAGTGCTAAAATTCGGGTGAAATTTTGTAAAAGCATTTGCTATTGTTCATTTAGAATTGTCGAGATCGATGATTCATCTCTTTAATCCATGTAGGTAAGGGTAAATATAATTTATGATGGAGATTTGTCATGTGAAAACTATTGGAATAAAATTATAAGATATCTTTAAAGATGCATAATAAGAACACAAAATATAATGAATTGTGAAGTAACATACTAAAAATTGTGCAAAAGTACTATGATACGGGTGAAAGTTTTCAAAATTATTTCATATTCTCCATTTAGAACAACTGTTGTCGAGATTGATGATTCATCACGGTGATCCTTATAGGAAGGATAAAATTTATTTAGTACAAATGAAAATAATTTGGATTGGAAACTTGTTACATTAAAACCATTGTGGTATCAAAAAAAACTTGACAAAGTTTTTTATTAATTGCCATTTGCTCACTCACCACCTTCACCCTTAAAACAAGATATTCACATAGTGCCGAATAACTAATGTCACACATAAATGTAACTCAATTTAATATATTATTTATGTTGTTATTTGAAGTTAAATTTTACTACAAAAATATAGAGCATCCTAAAAATTACCTTCACATGTTAATTTAAAGAGTTTCATCACAAGGTTAGTCGCTTGGGCTAAATTTAGACAATAAACAAAATATTTGATGTTTTCCAAAATAATGATAAGGGTAGCAACTTTTTTGTTCTTTTTTTTTTTTTTTTTTTTTTTTTTTTTCAAGTATTAAAAATGCATATATTTAGTTATTCTATAAAAGTGAACCATGTAGTTCTTTGATAGTGATCCGTTACTTTCATACCATTGTGTTATTGAAAACAACTTAGTAAAGTTTGGTATTAATTGTCATTTGCTCACTCACCACCTTCTTACTATTATGTTATCGAAAAAAACTTGGCAAAATTTGATATTAGTAGTCATTTTCTCACTCATCACCTTCACCCTCATATCAAGATATTCACATAGTGCCGACTAACTAGTGTCACACATAAATATAATTCAATTCAACATATTATCTATGTTGTTTTTTGAAGTTTGTTAGTCACTAATTGACTCTAGAGGGGGGGGGGGGGGGTGAATAGAGTCAAGGAGCAATTTTTCAATTTAAAAATTATATTTCTACCAAACTGTTGAATATCAGTTTATTGAAATATTCAAGCAAAATAAAGCACAAAATTAAGAGAGATAGAGATAAGAGATTGCAAACAATGACTCGGTGATTTAGCGAGGTTCGGAAACTCCTACTCTTCGGCTCAAGATCCCCCTTGAGACTTCCCAAATTCACTAGAGCTTCTCCTTAATGGTGGAGAGCAAACCTTCACTTTTGAAACAAGATCTTGCTTCTCTTCTTTGCTAGGAGAACACCCTTCCCCTAGGCTTTCTTTTGGGTTATACCAACCTTTTACAATAGCTTTAAAATTTGAAGAAACAGTGTACAAGAATCTCTCAAAGATAGATTACAGAGTTTAGCTCACAACTATAGAAAAGATGAATATACGTGAAGCTCAGAATTGCTACAGTGATATGAAATAACAGAGAGGGAATGAAAGCTCAGAAAACTTCTTTAATGCTTTTTAAGGAATGATAGAATGTTCTCTGTTAAAAAAAGTGATTCTAGTTTAAAGACCAACCTCAGTATTTATAGAAATAACAGAGTTCAATATAGCTGTTAGAGGTTGTTGAGAACATTTAATGAAAATGTTTACGTTACAGTTCAAAACCCTAAAGAGAGCCGTCTCTTGAAAACCAAAGAGCCTGCTCTTTGTTCATTTTCCTTGGAAAGAGCCTGCTCAATGAAAACGTGAGCCTGCTCTTTATTTTGAAGATTCATTTTCGTAGCTTGTTTTGGAATAAAAAGAGCCCTCTCTTTCTTTTGATTGAGCCCTCTCTTTTTCTTAAATACTTCTCAAAGACTTACTGGAGTTAAAGAGAAGAACCTTCTCAGGGCTCACTGAATAAGAGAAAAGAGCCTTCTCTTTATTTTATGGAGCCTTCTCCATCTCACATTTTGATACTTAATATGAAATTCTTTAAGTCCTGTGAATGTGATCATGGGCTGATTTTATTTTCTTTGAGAAATAAAATGGAAATGCAATGCATGGATTGAATTTTGAGCTTCAAATATATTCAAATTAACTTTGACATTAAATCTTAAGTTCTCACCATCTAATCTACCCTTTCCTTCAATCTTTGACCATGATCGGTTAGCCTTTGATGGAGTACTTGAATAATCTTTGAATTCTTGCAACTTCAATGCTTCCTTGAATCCTATTGCTTGAGTACTTCGAATGCTTCTGGCTCAATATTGAGGATTGAATTAATTGATCAACTATATAGCACTCAAGGAAAATATTAGTACATAAACATCATTAATGGTTTGTAATCATCAAAATATAATATTAACCTTTAGATTAAATCCTTAGGCCAACAAAGTTAAATTCTACAACAAAAAAATAGAGCATCCTAAAAATCACTGTCACATGTTAATTTAAAGAGTTCCATCCCAAGGTTAGTTGCTTGGGCTAACTTTAGACAATATACAAAATACTCGAAGTTTAGAAAAATAATTGAAAGAGTCACATTTTTTCTTTTCTTTTTTTTTTCTTCCAAATATTAAAAAAACATACACTTAGGTATAAATTATTTAACATATCTTAGAATTTTTTTTAGCAAAGTTTACAAATTGTGATGTTACTTTTAGACTTTTGTGATGTTACTTATAAATAGTGGTGAAATGTTACCTATAACAAAATTGATCATCTTCACCCTCAAAATAAGGTATGCACATAAAACAGATTAAGTAATGTCACATACAAACGTAACTCAATTCAACATATCATTTATGTTATAATTTGAAATTAAAGTATTTTAAAAACACTTTAACATGTTAATTTAAAGAATTTAAACCAAAATAAGGTATTCACATAGTGCCGAATAACTAATGTCACACATAAATGTAACTCAATTTAACATATTATTTATGTTATTATTTGAAGTTAAATTTTACTACAAAAAAATAGAGCATTCTAAAAATCAACTTCACATGTTAATTTAAAGAGTTCCATCATAAAGTTAGTCACTTGGATTAACTTTCGACAACAAACAAAATATTCGATGTTTTCCAAAATAATGAAGAGAGTTGCAACCTTTTTTTTTTCTTTTCAAGTATTAAAAATGCATACATTTAGTTATTTTCTAAAAGTGAACCATGTAGTTCTTTGATATAGATCCGTTACTTTCATACCATTGTGTTATCGAAAACAACTTAGTAAAGTCTGGTATTAATTGTCATTTGCTCACTCACCACCTTCGTACTGTTATGTTATCGAAAAATACTTGAAAATTTTGATATTAATAGCCATTTTCTCACTCATCACCTTCACCCTCATATCAAGCTATTCACATAGTGCCGATTAATTAATGTCACACATAAATGTAACTCAATTCAACATATTATTTATGTTGTTATTTTGTTTGTTGTCTAAAGGTAGCCCAACTGACTTTAACATTGGGATGAAACTCTTTAAATTAACATGTGAAAGTGTTTTTTTAATGCTCTGTTTTTTGTGGTAAAATTTAATTTCAGACAATAACATAAATAATATGTTGAATTGAGTTATATTGACATGTAACATTAGTTATGGGCACTATGTGAATACCTTATTTTGAGAATGAAGGTAGTGAGTGAGCAAATGGCTATTGATACCAATCTTTTGCCAGGGTTTTTTTGATTCATTTATCACTCTAGTCTTGTGAGCTTACTTTTGTACATCAATCTTTAAAGAGATACTTTTGTACTACCACTTTGTTACTTGAAAACATTGTAAGGGTTGGTGTGACCCAAAGGAAGACCAGGAAAATGTTATTCTCTTAGCAAGCAAAGGAGAAGCAAGGTCTTGCTTCTTGTTAATGTTTGCTCTCCCCCCTCCTTTAGAGTCAATTATTGGGTAACAATACGTTTTTTTAATACCTGAAAAAAAAAAATTGTGACTTAATTTGGGATGAAACTCTTTAAATTAGTATGTGCCAGTTTTTTAATTCTCCTTTTATGGTAAAATTTAACTTCAAATAATATGTTGAATTAAATTATATTTATGTGTGACATTACTTATTTGGCACTATGTGAATCCCTTCTTCTGAAGGTGAAGGTGGTGATAAAAAAAAATAGTTACTTTGAAGACTCCCTTAATGTTACTAACGAGCATTGTTGATATAAGATAACTAAGAAAGACAATTTTCTACGAAGGATGCTGAAGTTACTTTAAAAAACTATGGTGAATATAAAGTTGTTGAGAGAGAGAGAGAGAGAGAAGTTAATTACTAAATTAGATTTATTGTATCGTGAATATTGGTTGTAATGACATAAGAAACACAATTCAAATATTTCTTCAAAGACGTTTCATAAATTGATAAACAATTAATTACAATATATCTATGATGCCTTCATTGACACTAGGAGTAATTTAAATTAAAAGAATCAAACTTCTTCAATTCAATCAACCTAATACAATGGTTATAATAAAAATAATAATTCAAGTTTCAGAAAACTTTATATCAACTCTCTATCAACGTATGCAATGATTTGCACCGTGTGCTTCATCTTCAATATTAATAAAGTCAAACTCCAGGAGCATGGTATCTGCATCAATGGCACTAACAACCTGCATTAAAAAAAATGTCATTTTACTAATAGATAAATAAATAAATCTACTTGAAGAATAGGTGCTTGATGAAAACTAAAAGCAGATGATTCAATTAGAATACTAGTAAATGAAGGAAGACCGGTGGTGATCTAGCATAATTATATGTCTGATAAAAAATTGTGAAGCATCAAACGTGTTCTACATCCCTAACATAATCACTGAGATTAAAATTGATGCATGAGCATTGATTCCGGAAAATAATTAACAAGTATTAATTAAAACAGCTTATAAATTAAGCTAAACTAACAAGAGTTCTCCATATCTAAAATAATTACTACCTAGCCGCAGCGTCATGAGCAGTGTCAAATCCACTTGACAACCCGACATCAATAATTACCAAAAATAAAAATATAACAAAATTCAAACCTAAATAATACCTAGGTAATGATAATCAACACAGCAGACGAATCATATAATCATATCCACACCCAAATACACTTGTTTCCCAAAGTCCCAGCACCAAATATATATATATACACACACACACACACACACACACACACACACATATATACATACATACATACATACAAATATACAAATAGAAGTTCAAATTATGCCCAAGTACAATAAAGTGAAATAGAAAATGTAACAATACAATCAATTACATATTTTCACCAGAATATTAACCAGATATGCATTCCTTTGGTTGCGAATAATTCCTCAATCCTGTTGTATATTATAGACATCTACACAAACGTGTATTTGGGTAGGAAAGACATCAACTAAATTGTAATCCAAAAACAAGGCCCCTAATGAGAGATTTTAGCCTAATGAGAGATCCAAAAACATCACCATAACAATAATGTCGTATTAAAGCCTTACTTCTCAAAAGGAGGTCAGGGTTTCGAGCCTCAGTGGAGGCATGTGTATGTGAGTACCAAAACTAAGAAAAAAAAATGTGGTGGGACTCAAATGCAAAGAAACAAAGAAAATAACATCACCATGCCAACAACTTGAAAACTTTGTTTTCGCACAAAATGATTACTTTATCAAATAATCAAAAAATTGGTTCTTATATTCTAGGCAAGCTTAGCAGCATAAGATTTTATTATAGTACACATCAGAACAAAGAATGCAGATTGATCTTGACTATACAAAGTCAAATGCTAGTTCATAATTACATGTGATGAACGTAAATCAGAAGAACATGAGGATGCTTTGAAAATTTTAATGGATAAAAAGTGTCAGCTTTATTGCAAACCTATGAAGAGCATACAATAATGCAAATAATTAGAAATATAAATATTAATCTATAAAAATGGACCCTACTTATTTCCAAGATACCAAATCCTCTTTCTTTCTAGTTAAATCAAGTTGGAATATATTGTAATTGCTTAAATGCATATCACTGACAAGAATAATATATGGATGTTAAAGAATTAAGATACTTATCAGCAACCAAAGTCGGTATACTATGTTTCCAAATGGTTCAAGCGTCACAAATTTCAATGCATGTGATAGAGTTATTAAAACCATTAGACTCTGCACCATTATCTCAAACATATTAATAGATCATGCAATTTGCTGTGATGTTGTTTGTATTGATAGGTTAGGTTAAAAGAATGAAAATTGTTAGTATAATTCTCGAGCTATTGTTGCAGGAGAAAATTGTTTCTAGAGAAGTTTAAGGGGGGGAATTATTTTTTGGTAAAGTGCGAAGGAGGAAAATTATGAAGACAAATAAAATAATTTTCCATTAAAATTTCATCATTATTAGTTGTAGCATTTCTGTAACTCAAATGAAGATGAAACATACTATGAAATCCCACTGCAGTGTTCTAAGCAACTGAGCAGAACATAGATTAGTATGGAAGAGAAAACAAAAGACAAAAGTGTAGTGTTCCTCTAGCCATTTTATACACAATTTTCCACCGCAACGTTCATGCAATTTGTTATTCTCTTAAAAAGAACTGCACATATATGAACATTTTGATGGAAAACAAAAACCCTTTTGGAAGATGATAAACACAACTTTTCATTTCTTAGGTGAGCCACTACAAGATATAGTAAAGTTTTATGTATTTCCTCCCAAAGTATTAGCTCTGAAAAAATGAAAACACAGAAAGATCGAGATATTCAAGGACCTTTGATTTTTTTATTCGAATAAAATATCTTAGAATTCTCCTGGAGTACTTACTTTTCTCCCTCTTTACCCAACCTACAACATTATACAACATACTTTGAAATTTTACAATGATTTCTAACTCCAACACAATTCTTAATAAATGTTGACAGAAACTAAGAATTATGCATTGGTGCGTAATGCTTGAGATTAACAACCAATCCACAAAAATTGTTTAAACTTAATAGTGAGATAAGCTAACTATGAAGGTACATAAAAAAATTACAGATCCTCGAATGCTTATGATTTCAATCAAAGAGACAAGTGAGCTTGAGATGATTCGGAAAGGAAAATTAAATTTAAAATTCCTTTAGGAGTAAAAACTTTCAATCAAATTCCACATATGTTGAAGGATGGTTTCAGATTATTATCAATTTCCTAATATGGGTGTGAAATAGTATCAATCTACAAAATCGTAGCTTTATAGAAAATTGAAATAACTGTCTAGTAAATCACCCTCCCACATAAATCATTGGTTTTGTGTACTCTCACATTTTTGAAGGCTTGGGAAAACTGTCATGAGTAAATTTCCAAGGCACGCTGAGACTGCCCTTAATCTTCATCGCACCCCTGCATCCATCAGTGTATCACAAAAACATCAAAACATTATTTTTTGGTACTTTATTTGTAAAGTATGAAAAATAAAAGATTTGAAAAAGACTAATATGAAAAGAGAACGAGACCTCATGAAAGCAATCTGGGGGTTCAACTTGCCAATGGAGACCTTAACAAATCTTCATCCTTGAAAGAAAAGGTGGCATCAGGTTTTTCACTTTCATATATACCTAAAATTCTCCAAAAAAATCAATAAATAATTACACAAATAATCAAAGAATCGCATCAATTGACGCATTCTAGCTAAATGCGAGAACGCATAGTAACAATATATACATATATATATATATATATAGCTGTAAAATGCACTGGACTGATGAGAGGGTTTGAGGCTTGCTTGATTATCGAAATTGATTCAGAATTGAGATAAAATTAAGAATGAAATAGAGTATAAATGAGAAACCCTTACCTTTGCTCAGGAGTTTCATTTGGTCCATGAGGTCGTCAGACTTGAGATGAGCATCGGCCATGGCTGGTAAATTGGGCTTTGGTTGTTGAGTGACTATGCGAATAAGTAGATGATTATTGCTGGAACAGACCATGAATTCAGCTATATGTTGTTGAAGATGAAAACCCTAAATCAAATATTTGGTTCTCGTATTCTTGTGCTATACAATCTAAATCGCATCTGAGAGAAAAATAATGTTGAACCTGAGAACCCGAAATCAAATATTTGGATCTGCTATACTTATTTATCTGTGCTATAAAATCTAAAATTATTGGGTTATATGGCTAATGGCTGGGTGTCAAGGCGAGAGAAATTTAGATCTAATCATTTTGAAGTGGAGAGGATTTTAGATTGAGACAGTCTTCTCCACGTCGCATCTAAAAAAACAAAAAATAATTGTATATTAAATACGTAATAACTTGGGGTATAGAGCTAGTTTAACCGTGGTTAAGGTAAAAAGGAAAAAGTAGACAAAAGAATGAATGTAGACATGGCAAGTTTTGGACCGCTTATTAATTTCGACGACTGCGTTTTGATTGCACCGCATGGGACCGCAGGGATACCTACAGCAGGGGATTCACGCCCTGCAAACACCTACCTCTTTTGAGCTTGCAGTCTCATCACAATCAAATCACAAATATAATACTCCGTACTACATTGATTGCGATGGAGAATTTTTTTGTGTACAAAAATATTTATCTAACCAATATATATATATATATATATATACTAATTAAATGGAATAATTCACTTATTGAATTTATATATATATATATATATATAATACTAGTTAAATGGAATAATCCACTTATTGAATTTTTATATATATATATATATATATATATATAATACTACTTAGTTAAATGGAATAATCAACTTATTGAATTATATATATATATATATATATATATACACTTTAAAATAAAATGCTAGTTAAATGGAGTAATCCACTTATTAAATTTTTTTTTTTTTAAAAAAATCAATTATTTAGCAGTTTTATATTAGTTTATGCTTTGAATTTTTAAATAAATAAATGTTTATCTTGAAAATTTTGAGCCTTGGACGTTGAATATGGATAATCTCCAATAGTTTTTTAATCCAAATAATAAATTGTTTTGAAAACACCACATTATTATATTTCTTTGATTCAAGTTTCATATGAAACCATACGTTGGGGCGGTCTATCATCCACCAGGCTGACACAACCCTCCTTTGTCTATAGACCAAGCTGATTCGGACCTCTAGCTAGAAATTTAGGGTCTATTTGGTATGCATTTTATTTTTGATGTTTTTATTTTTGTAAAGTACTGTAGCAATGAATAATGGAAAAATAATGCATTCGATAAAAACTGTTTTATTTTGCACAGTGTCGAAACGTTTTGTGAATAGTGGGCAAAAATTAAAACAATTTGGTGAATAGTAAACATTTAAAAACTAACCATTATATTTTTCAAACTTGTAACAAATTTTTACCAAATATGTTTTCATGTTTTCGCTTCCCAAAAATCTTGCAACAATGAAAGTTACCAAACATACTTTTGATTATTATTCAAAACACCCTACAATAAAACACTTGTTTTGTTTTTGATTAAAACAAAACGTAAAAAACAAAATGTTTACCAAAGAGACCCTTATGTCTTTAAGAAATACAAAAACTTTTACAAGGACAATGTTCCCCAGTATTATGTACTCTGTATCGAATATGGATATTCTTTGGATACTTGTGAATACATATGCTATGTTTTTTAAACGTATTCATGGTTTTAAAATACGTATCCAATACTTCTTCTACCATGAGCACGTATCCAATAATTCTCATATACTTTTTAAACATTAAAATGTAAACTATATATATATTTTTCCAAACAGTAAAACAATTTATAGATATGCAAAAATGTACAGTGTGGCTCGAGTTGGGCAAAAGGGAAAACCTATAAAGCACGGACACCGAAACGGGACACGGGTACGATACGATACGGATAAGTCGATACGGCAAATTTCAAAAAAATAGAACTCGGACAAGGCAAGGATACAATAATAAAATAATAATAATATATATTTTTATTATATATAAAATTTTAATTTCTCTTAATTTTTAATTTACATTAATAGACATGATCCATATAAATTAAGTCCAATCCAAATTCTATTAAAATTCAAACAATAAATATGTAGTATATCTTTATATCCAATACTAGAATTTGTATCAATACTAGAATAGTTTTAACTTTGTAGCCAAACACACTGAAAAGATCTTATCTCCTTGGTCTTCCCACCTTTGATTGATCATATTCTCTCTCCTTAAGATGAAATTCCTCTTTTGTTAACCATTGACAGAGGAAGAAAAAGGCGATCAAGCCTTTGGTTGAGATCTTTTTGCATCGAGAAGGGAGAGACCATAGCAGAATCGGAATTCTTGGCCAGACGCTATCTCCTCCGTCTCTTAACTTTCTATCTTTCTTCTCCTCCATCTATTGATTTATATTTAGAGAATATGCAAACAAATTTTCACTCAAACAATTAAAAGAAATTTTTTCTTTCATTCTGTCTTCGATTGATCCACACCAACCAAAGCATGATCATCAGTTTCTTCATCATATCTTTGTTGATTTCCCCTCTCTCTTCCAATTTCTTTCCCATCCCCTCCATTCTTTTTTTTTTTTTTTTTTTTTTAAAAAAAAAAAAATTTTGAGTTGCTTTTGGTTTGTTGTCTTCGATCGGTCCACACAAAAAAAACACACATATCTCTTCATCCTCTCTTTCTTTAATACAAGAATCTAAACTGCGGTGTCCTCCAGTGTACCAGCCGTGTCCTCCGGCGGGTCCCGACCATACGTGTCTAAGGCTGGGACACGAGTGTCCATGTTGGACACATGTCTGACACTGGTACGTCACCCCTACCACGCGTGTCTGTGTTTCATAAGGGAAAACAGACTTGGCTTTCCACGAAGGATCTTGGATATATAGACTAAACCTAAGCAAACATGCATGAATGTTTGAAAACTACAAAACCCAAACCAAAAAAATGAGGTTTAAACTTTGAGATGACCGTTAAGAACAAATACAGTTTTTAGCTATTATCAATGGCTGTCCTGAGTCATTTTAGTCAATGAACATCAAGAGGTAGAGGGAGTCGGTCATCAACCATGTTGAAGTGAAATTTTGCACGACCCGGATCCGCACTGGTTCTTGCAAAAGAAAATGGATAGTGAACGACGCCTAGCACCGGCGGGTGCCGGCCGGGTACCCTATTACAATCAAGTCAGTTTTGGGGTTCTGTATGTAAAAGAAAATAAATTCTATATTTAATTTCACCTACCTTACAAGTGGGCCGATCACCTTCTTATAGGAGAAGGTAACCGTCGTTGCACATCATAATGACGAGCGATGACTTTTCATGATCCGAAAGAGATATTTGGGATGGGCTTACATGATCTCTATCCCATTTGAATTTGAGTTGCTCATTTAAACTGCTTGTTATCTTTATCCTTATCAGTTGCCCCCCATTCTCATACTCGCTTGTTAAGTATTGAGAATGTCAAAAGTCGTAAGTCCCTTTTCTTTGAAGGAATTCCTTTCAAACTCTTTTTATTTATTTATTGATCGTGCAATTTTTTTTTTTTGACCGGCCTCCTTTTGGCCAAATCTGTTCTTTTTCTCACCAACCTCCTATTGGGCAAGCACATAGCTCTTTTAGGTAACCTCTTTTTGGCATTGCGTGGTGTGTGGTACCAAATCGAAGTTAACCATCATTGTCAAATTTCCATCTTGATAGAGTTTGGGTTACAAATGTTGGTGACCTCTTTTTGTTTTTTGTTCATATGCAAATTTTGCAACTCTGATTGAATCCCAGGTTAGAGAAATAGGTTGAAAATTATATTACTAGATTCATTGAAATTTGATCTCAAGTTAGAGAGATTGGTTGAAAATTGGATTGTGTCAAGTTGATTTCAAATGTCAAGCACCATATTGTAAATTTTCATGTATTTACGGGCTCACTAAAACACATGTTGGCGATTTTTTTCACCCTTTAATAAGGGATAGATTTTACGAGTTTCATTCAGCTCGCTATTTAATAAGGGAATAAATTTTATGAGCTTTACTCAGTTCAGTTCGCCCTTTAATAAGGGAATACATTTTACGAGCTTCGCTCAATTCGCTCTTTAAGAAGGGAATAAAATTTACGAGCTTCACTCAGTTCGTCCTTTAATAAGAGAGTTATTTTGTCTTGCTCTTTAATAAGGAAATAAATTTTATGAGTTTCACTCAGCTCAACATTTAATAAGGAAAATAAATTTTACGAGTTTCATTCGGTCCGCCCTTTAATAAGGAAAATAAGTTTTACTAGTTTCACTCAGCTCGCCCTTTAATAAAGAAAATAAGTTTTACGAATTTCACTCAACTCTCCCTTTAATAAGGGAATTGTTTTGTCTAAGCTTTGTAAGCTCGCCCTTAATAAGGGAATATATATTTTTGACCTTCATGAGATTTAATAAGAGAGGTTGCAGTCCTGTTTGCAAACGGTATTGCCCCAATCATTTTGAAGAGAGCGTCTTTGAGTTAAAATGTCAAATACAAGTTCCATCAACCAAAATCCAGTATTGCACGATTAAAAAGTGATTTTCAATTTCGAGCTTCCCCAAAATTGCAGGCATTCCATACTTTATTTTTATGTGGGCATTTCATACTTTATTTTTAAGTTCGTGCAATAATTTAGATAGTGTATTATACGGATTGTTATTGTATTGTTATTCTTAAACAACAAACAACAATATCAAAGTACTGTACAAGGGAGTTTATTTTTTATTTTTTTATTTTTTTAATGACATTAGAGTGCACCTCTACTGCCTTTTGAAGCATCTCAGGTTGATTTAGCACCTCAGCAAGTGTCCACTCCACAGTATTCGACGGATTGTCCACTGTTGCTATCATTAGTTCCTGTAAATTAATTAAAACATCAATCCGTACATAATTATTCATGGATAGAATTAAAATGGTTGCTTTTGGAGAGTTTGGATTGGCATGCCATGTATATGAACCACGAACACAAGTGTATAATTAATTTACCCTATTAATTATTCTTGTATTTTTTTTTTTTTTTGAAAGATAATTATTCTTGTATTTTGTAAATAAATTGCCAATTATTTTTAATTTAAATTACCCATCATTCTTCATATACCATGCATAAATTTCACAATTAATTTTAATTTAGATTTACCGGCCCATTATCACTCACCACCAAAAGTTGCAGTCTCCATGACACTGATTATTGAAGTCGGGAAAAATATATATATATATATCAATTGTATATAGCATTACTCACCACCAAAGGCTGCAAATGATGTAGTCTAGTGTATATTTTCACCTTCCAAAGATCAAGT